ATGGAACACTTCAAATGACGACCTCTTGGAAGAGGTAGAAGTTGAACGAGAGAATAGAAATCCTCGGAAATAATACCAAAGCATTAACACATAACACAACATAATATCAATAATTCAATTTACAATATAAACACACTTTTTTATTACTATATTTACGGCATGTATTTGAAAAATAAAAWTGCGACGTCAGCTAAGAAGTCATATGCAGTTAAAACCTATTTTCACAAAAATATTTAAAAAATAGCATGAATATATTAATATCTTATTAACCGAGCGCGAGGGCCGTACGGGAAGTTATGGACCGAGTTTTTTTCCACTGACTTATGACCAGAGCGCTAGCGCGAGGGCCGTACGGGAAGTTATGGACCGAGTTTTTTTCCACTTTTTATGGCCCTCGTCTGGTCCGTACGTAAAAGTATGGCCCGCTTTTTAGACAATGAAATCGTGTGTTACATCCGAGCTATATAATAAAAGTCTGTATTCTTGAAATAGCTTGGTAAGAATCAGAGCTTGTGTGAGTAGTTCACAGCAAGCACACAAGACTTCATGCAGAATCCTTGCGCCGAATTACAAGCAGCAGCAACCTACGACTGATACACCAGGTACAAGTCCTGCAGCCGCGTAGCAAGCCGTCCAATTAACAATTAGACCTCGAGGTCGAGTGGACTATTAGATCGTAGTCCACGAGGCCGAGAGKTCTAATTGTTTTCGTATAAACATACTAATCGGTCAAATAATGAAAACAAATTGAAATATCCTTAAAATAATTCATTAATGAGATTGATTTTCCCGCGAGCGGTCTATCACAAATTAGACCATTAGTAGAGTAACCAATCACAGCGCAGTATGAGTGATAGACCATTAATATGTTTATGCTAAACGGTATTACACCCTGTCTGGCAAATACCATAGGCCAGTATCCCTGCCTCTGCATGTTGGGGTACCATAATAACCATCACAAGTACAATGAAAAACACTGCTTGGYCTTGCACGGTCCGTTTCGCATTGTAGAAAAATTGTCTCCGGTACACTTCTTTTTGCGCACTGAAAGCAACAGTAGAGTCAATTCGATATCGATCCAGATGAGAGACCAATTGATCCGCCAAAAGACGAGGACGAACCGTATTTAGACTACTNTTGTGAAAAAAAAACTCGCAAAGGTAAAGTAGAGTAAAACTGGCAAATCACCAAGTAGTAAAAACACGTGGGAACCATCAGAGAATATTTTAGACAATAGATTAATTGAAATATTTGAACAAAAAAGAGATTTAAAATATTAAAAAAGAATAACGCAAGTATCCGAAGTGGCGGAGCCATACTGACTACATTCAGAAGTTGGATCGTTGAGAATTGTCAAGTCTCACAGTAGAGTCTCTCGTTCCAGTAATAATCACGCATAGCTTAACCAACTACTAACATAGCAAAAAGGGACAAGCGTAGATAGTTAATTTAATGCTAGAGAAGGAAACAAAAAMATCGGTTAAAAAGCCTGTTATATAGAAACATGCAGACGTGCATAGAAACTATATAGGTCTTGAGAATGTTTTAACGATGTAATCAAACTAGACGGGGGAKTAYGTTAGACTACGTCTCCCTTGACATTTAGTTAATAAGTATAGGAGACCTCAATTTTAAGTGATTCGTCAGCAGTTTTATAGTTTGGTCTAGAAATTGAAATATGCCAAGTCATGTGCMTGTAAAAATAGTTTTGAATTACCAGTAGTTTTAATGTACAGCAGTTTTTACGCTGTACCAGGGTTAAGATCAATATTGAATTTACAGACTGATTAGAAAATGTTMAAGTATCCTTATATTATTGTATATTTATAAGTAATTACTTTTGTTTAAGTTTATGACGCACACTTTATATAAAAATTTTCACGTGATCGATACTTGTAGAATAATCWAAGGTCGCCCTGAACGGGGAATTCCCCTCAGTATTCATCATTTTAAGGATTAAAATCATTAATGCATGCACCCTTCCCAGTCAGAAAAGAAATGACCAGATTGCAAGGACGATGTTTTAACCTCGGATATTAATCAGTTAAAACAGCTAAAATATTGGTTACAATTTCATAGCAACTGAAGTCATTACTCCCTAAATCAAATTTTAACATTGTGTGTTTTCTTCTACAAACTTATAGAACATAACTTTTAAGTATTGACTACACTTCAACAAGAACAACAGCTTTATCAGTACACTGGGCTGTGAGTCCTGTGAGCAAGCTGATTTAAGGAGTGGGAGTAAGTCCAGCAGCTACACATGCTGCCATACAAGCACCTTGAGCAGTGTTACATGCAACGATGGCGGCAGGCACCGCAGCTCCTCCGGTAGAAACACCAGCCGTTCCACCTGCAGCAGCCACACAAGCAACCCACACTGTATTGCAGCCCGTCTGGCAAATTCCATAGGCCAACAGTCCACCCTGAGATTGCTGAGCAGTCACCATCATTATCAAGAGAAGTGCTGCAGCTTTATTCATGGTTTCTTGTCTTAACTTCTAAAGGAAACCAAACAGCTAATTTCACAACAAGAACACAATTTCAAAAACTCATTAATTATTCATGAGGTATCCAGCCAATCCCTGATTGTAATTTGTACCACGTGAAGTAACTTGAAACCAGAGGAAGTACTTGTACCTTGTATTCTACCTTATTTCCAGTTAACTTCTACCTTTTTCAAGTTACTTCTACATTATTTCCAGCTATTTCTACCTTATTTCCAGTTACTTCTACCATGT